TTCCTTAAATTTTGAAATTTTCTGGATTTTATTTTGATTTGTTAAATTTGATAACTACAAATTGACCCCTAAATTGATAAATATTTATCAAAAACATCTAATATGTAGTTTTTAACATGTTACGTATACTTGGTATATGTCACCATGTATTACATAATAGTCTGTGTAATTCCGAATATATTTATATATTTAGAATGGTTTGCAACATATTAGTCAATACTTGGTGTAGTTAAGAATAATTTTTCTATTTTTATATACATATTAATATAATTTACGACCATTTGGAATATTACTAGATAAACTCACAGAAAGGATTAGAAATTTAACTTTTGATGTAGATCAACTTTTTCTTTTTTTCGATATGCAGGGGTGATCCGATTTTTTATTATGCGACTAATCCTGCAGGATGAGTGTAGCCGTTCAATAGCCTAATCACCGGATTTTTTAATGGACCTAAAGCGTAACACCATTTCGACTAGTCAAATAGAGGTGAAAGTGTTTTCAGAAAAATCGAATTCAGATTGGAAGAGTTTACCACATTCCAATGAACCCTTTTATCACTAGACAACCACCACTGAGTTGACGAAGCCAATTTCAATACATCTCTTTCTTTCACATTTATCATGGACATATGAGGTGTGAATTTTGTGGGATTGAACCAAGCCGTGTTGAGGTCCATATGGATCTAAGACACGGATTTTAAAAACAAAAGTTTTATAATAAAGTTATATTGAAAGAATTATAAAATTGCCTGATTTTCTTTTTGATTTTTTCTTTTCTCTGCAATTCTAAACGCTGCAATTTTCTTTTGGGGCAATACAAAAATGCCACTTTTGTGTGACATTTGCAAGAATGCCACTTAGGAGTGTCCATTTACAAAAATGCCACTAATTATAGATTTRTAAAGCMTATATCTTAAAATTYTAAAYYCKAAARAATRTTTTRAYMCCTAAAACYCYCTAAACHSTMRWWACTAAATCCTAATAGAACATAATTAACCCAAACATAAATGATATAAAGAAAAAATAATTTTGAAAAAATGGCATTTTTGTAAAGATTTCAAAAGTGTGGCATTTTTGTAAAGTGGCACTTGAAAAGTGGTAT